CTTCAGGAGCTTTTCTCCAACATGAGAATCTGCAAGCAGTGAAATAAAAGCCACAGTAACAGATTCTTTATAGAGCTTTCCACTAATTCATCCCATTCCTGTGCATCTAGCTGGTAAGCAAGGAGCTGCTGCCTGCAAATACCCAAGCTGTCATGACTCATGCCTGTGCAGGGGGACCAAGATCACTTGGGACATAACTGCTGACCAGTTAACAACCAGGAGAAGCTGTCACCACAGTTTCATTGAACTGGGTAGAGTAATAGCTAAGACACATAGGTCTTTCAGTCCTCCCGTCAGATGTGGATGACTACTCCTATCAAGTTTTAGGTCTAAACTGTGAAAGAAATTATCATTTCACGCTGTTTTCTCCTCATTTCAGTACATTTTCACCTTCCTTTTGCATTTCCCCTACCTCTCCCAAAGCAGCAGGAACATATATTTTAACAAAATGCAAACACCCTTATTCAAAACTTCTCTTTTCCTCGTTCTTATTTGTACATCTCCTCAAAAAGCTGGTCTGAACTCGATATCTACTTAGACTGTCCTCAGCACCTTACATGGTTAGCTAAATGACCTCAAAAAGTGGTGAGAGGAGGAATTCACGCACTGCAAGCATTCAACCTCGGCACCATCATGAGCCAAAACATCTTCTCTTTCTTCCTGTGGACTTTGTTTCTGTCCAGCCCAGGCATCCTCATCTCTTCTGTTTAAGAAGCATTCAACAATCTGCTTGGCTGTACTCAGAAACCTTCTTGTAGAAATTCTAGAGGAAATAAAAAGTGTTGGCCAGAAATGATACAATTTTTTTTTTGTGGGCCAACATCTTGAAAACCAGAGCAAACTATTATTGGAGATGATCTGTTCACATTTGGTTCCCCAGAAATCAGTCAAGAAAGACCCAACAAATCATTCTGCTTCGAAATACTATTGCTTAGTTCTCAAGATGATCCAATCTCTGTTAGCACAGAAGTGACTTCCCAAAGTCCTTTAATCTGGAAAATGGTTATCACCTCCCGCCTTCCTCCAAAATAAAAAACAAAGCTTATGCAATAAAGCTGATCATATCAGGTGCCTTGACAATAAACTCCGCAATAAGCTGCGCTCCAGCTGATGCCGATATCATGATTTTGCTGAGCAACAGTTTCAGTAGTCCGTGCCTAGGCATCAAAATAATTTTCAGAGATTACACGGGAAATGAGATTATTACTCACCGAACAACTGCAAAATGCACAGACATTATATCAAGTTTGATGCTTATAAAGCAGAACTTCGTAAAGGCCCGTTAGAGCATTAAGGGCAAGGATCTCAAGAGGGTATTACAGATAGACAGAAACCCCAAGAAACACACGCAATCCCAGTGTTAGTCGTGGAATACAGTGGTGCCAGGGCTGCCCTGAAGAGACCACCTCAGCCTCTCCACACGTCCTGAGACAAGGTTAATGAAAAACAAGAGTACACAGAGGTCTTACAAAAATTGGAAGCTGCCAGGCAAGGGAGTTACAATTGGTAAGCATACATAATCACCATTTCAGGACTTAACGGGGGTTACTAAACAAACTGTGCACGTACCAGGTGCCATGCAGAGAGAAGGGCTTGGGTGAGCTGTGGCTGCAGTGGTCCTTAGCACTGCAATAGTCAGAAAAATAACAAACGGTGAAATATCCAGCTGCATTTGGAAGATATTTTTCATTATCTCTATGTAAGTGATACACAGATGTTCCTCAACTCCAAAACATACACAACAGTTTACTTGTAACATCACAATAAAATATAATATAATAAATCATTCTTCAAATGTATCTACTACTTAGAGATACACACACACACTTGTGCTTTAAACCTCAGGATGTAAAGACAAAATAGCTGAAAGCAACAAGACAGAAGCAGATCTATTTCAGATTATTTTGAAAGAGGCACTCAGAGGTCATAGGAACTTATAGCAGTTGCTGATTTTACTCATTTCTAGTTAAGTTGACATCACAGGAATAAATGTGTTTTTGAAGAAGAACAGAATTTTCAAATCAGGGTTCAAAAAGAAGTTCCAAGACCAAAGACAACACCCTGATTTGGTTTTCTATTGCTAGAATACCTCCCTTATTCATGCTTCTAAATCTCAATACAATCACCCCCTCACTCTGCAGTAGGAGATATGGGAGCTCAGCACTGCTTGGGGCACACAAACCAAGCCTTGGGGGAGGAAATACCCCCTGCTGGGGTCACAAATGAGATCCAAGCCAACCCCCCTGTGTGACGACAGGCCCAAGCAAGCTCTTTAGCTCACTTGGTTGTGTTTGACACTTGGAGAAAGGAAGCCAGATCACACACAGTTGGGCTCAATATGCCACACAGAGCTTTTTTCCATCATGGATTTAAGGTCTGTTATCTTTTTCCCCTTATCTCTGTAAAAACTCTGTTCCAGAATCTTATCTCCTGTCTTGATATCTAAAGGGAGCCTTTCCTGAATTATCACAAGTGTGCATTTGACAGAATATATCCATCTAGATCACATACTTATTTATACCGGGTAGTGCCTGACAGGTCACTAATCACTCTGTACCACATGCTACACAAAAGCTTAACAGAGACTCTTCCCATCCTAGAAAGCTTTCAACCCAAAGATCAAATCCTAAAGATAGCATGGGCTTAGTTACAGTCCTGAGGCTCAGGAACTTGGACATCTGCTTTACTCCCAGAGCTATATTTAAGCACCTGTATACATATGAGTGCAATTACATACAGATACAGGTAGATTGTACTCATCAGTTTTATCACTGCAGGAGTGATTATAATCCATGACTACACACACACTCTCCATGATTTAGACCCTGGCCCGGTCAGTGCTTCCATCCATCTGCTCACTCCCATACACCCTGAACATGCTGTTACTCAGGAAAATCAGCAGCATTCTGGCTAGAATGAGAATTTAGCATTGGCCTAAAGGAAGGTTTTGATGCACAGAAACCACTGGGGACAGTGGGAAGGCAAAAAGAGGACATTTCAGTTCAGGACACTTCATTATCACACACCCCTTCCTATTTAGCACACAGGGCTTCTCCTCAGTCCTAAGGTTACCCGCAACATCTCAGCTCCTCACATTGCCTTAGCAGACTTCATTAGCAGCATGTGCCAAGAACCAAGTACTCTACTAGAGTTCCCATACCAACGGCTACGATCCATCAGGGAACTCAATACCCTTTCCCTCGAGAAAGGTCCGAGTATCTTATGGTGGCTGTTACATAGCATCCTTCCTCAAGGTTGCTCATTAGCCCTTTTCTCAAAGACCTGTTTATCCATGGTTATTAACTGGAGCTTTTTCCTTTGAGTATACACAAGAAAATGTTTTACTACTTATGACAGCAGCTTTAGGGAGCTGGAAGACTAGCAAGCTGTTACCTGGTGCAGAACACGGACCAGTACCATAGTTTGGGGTACAGCATGCAAGGTGGGGAAGCATCAGAAAGCAGCATTTCCAGTATTTCATTTCTGCCTGGTGGTACCAATAAAGGTTCCTTTGTGAGGGATAGACATGGTTTTGGCCTCTTAATCTGTCTAGAGGTAAGCACAGGCTGATACCCACAGCACAGTTGAGAGAATAAGCTGGTCTAGTACCATCTATTGTATACATTTACCCAGTATGCATTTTTTCTGTCTGCACATTCAGGCTTACATATAGGATTCAGTCCTCACAGTTTAGACAGCGCTGCGATTCAGTCACTGCAATCTAGCAAAGGAAACTTCTGAGCAAGACTGAGCAAGTTTATCTCATCACAATTCATCCTACAGACGTTTCCTACTGTTAGCTACAAAAAAACCCAAACCCACAACCCTTCAGGAGTCAACTACAGGATGAAATTTGGATTCCTACCGGCAGTTCTTCAGGTCTTGAAATACAATTTCAAATGAGGAAAAAATAAGACTAGGCAAAACCCTTTTCTTGTCTAACACAGCATCCCTTACCAATGGCACTTGGATACAATCTGGGATAAACGTTCATCAATCAGTACATTAGCACCACCAGAAACTTTTGGCAAGCTCTTATTAGGGCTTGTCTCAATGTAGGCAAAAGCAACAGACACTTAAGTCTTGCAGAGGGGGCGGGGAGCCCATATTAGCTACTGTTTCACTGCTTTCTATTTCTTTGCATGACCCTTTCACTGGCATGACTTCTATAGGTAGAAAGTGCAATTCTTAACAAGTAAAAACAGAATCAGACCTTGAGAATGATAAATATTGCTTTATTAAATTATTTTTATATTCCTACAAAGAAATTTTCCGATTTCCATTACAGAATTAAATGAAGAAAATTCATTGCTGTCTGCAGTTACCTAAATTTAGATACAAAAAGGTTGTACAAAGACCAGCCTATTCAAGTTGCATAAAAAAGGCAGAGAATAGACAAGTTCCCTTAGGAATCTTGAGGCTCAGAAATATAAAGTCCTATAATACAATGAAATTAAGAATTCAGCAATGTGTTGAACAATTGTAAACTGTAACTGCACTAGTGGACCACATTATTCAGCAGTTTCCTTAAAGGTATGAACTGTGAACTGAACAAAAAGCGTAGCTGACACGGCAGACCTCATTTAGTTGTTCTCCCTTTCACTCCCTCCAAGTAAAAGTTGTGAGATCAGCATTCAGCATTTAAATGATAGGAAGGAAACTTGCCTCCATAAATATCAGAAATTTCTCCATTCCGTAACTATTTATATAAAGTAACTAGCTGTTACAAATCAGTTTCAAGTAAAACAGGTGGCTGAGGCAACAATAATCAAAATCAGATCATACACAATTTTACTGTAAATACAGTAATTTGAAAGATAAACACATAACCATAGCACTGACAGGATATCAATGCTGCTGTATTATAGACATGATGTGTCAGTAGAAAATTAGGATGTCTATTATCAAAATTGAGGACATTCATTCCAGTCTCTGGTAATCTAATCTTAGTGCAAAACAGATGCTAAGACATATTTAGCAAAAAAGGTGATACATTTAAGGCCAAAAATTTGTTCAGTCATCACTATCGCTTCCAGATTCACTCAGCTGCAAGTCATTTCCTAGAAGAAAGAAAGTAATCTTATTAGTCATTTTCAGGGAAAGACTTTTCTTCTTTCAAGATATTCCCTTTCCCAATTAAAAGCTTACAAAAAAATCATATCAAACAGGTCATGGGGGGTGATGGTCTTTAAAGGTCCCTTCTAACCCAAACTATTCTACGATAAGAGAACAAATGGGTGTAAACCAAACTCCCCAGTGACAGAACCTTAGAGAGATCACTTTTCTACAATTTTAAAACCTTGACAAGAGAGCTATTAGTTTATTAGCTACAAGTGCATTTATTTAATATCACCAGATCACAGAAGACAACACCTAGCTATCTTTGCCACCCACATTTTCATGCTTCATAAGTGGGAAAACTGCTGGTGAATGCAGTTTTGTGAAAAATGAGTTGTTGGGGTTTTTTTTGAGACACGTCTGAATGCTACTCAGCTGTGCTTGAAAACAAAGTGGTGTCTCAATCAAGAAGAGCAGCTCTTTGATGTACCATTTAAAGATGTATCAGTGACCTACTATTTCAAACAGGTTTTGGAACAAGTGAACAAACAAAACATCAAAAGAAATTTTACACAGCACTTCAATTTGGAGGCTACATATATATATTTTAAAATAGGGAAGCAAGAAGAAAGACTACATTGTGCTTGCAATGGATGTCCATAAGCTTAGGGGGTAGAAGGGAGGGAGGGAATCTTTCTAGGATGATAGAGAACTTAAAAAAATATTTTATACACACACACACACACACATATACACACACACAGAGCAGCCTGCTATACAGAATCTACATCATATCTAGCAACTTCACACATATTCTTAAGAATTTGTTCCAACTAATATACTTTTATTCACACCTCCCTTGCCAAACAGCCATTAAAATAGGAAAAAAAAAATAAAGGATGTCTCTCAGCATGTCAGGTTGTGCAGAAATGGCCTAAAACCCAAAGAAAAATCACTGAAACAGAGTAGGCACACTATTTTCATATGCCCTTTCCTCAGCTGCAGCACCCTTCACAGATCACTTTTGCAGATGGGTAAAAAAGTAACCTCAAGAGGGCAAACCCAACAAGACAACAAAAGATCCAATCTGAGCACCGGGCACATCACTTCTGCCAGAACACGGAAGCCTTTAACATGGCTGCATTTACCCTTCCTTTGTTTTCCACTACATCATGGCTAAAGCTTACAGAGTAGTACATGATTCTCTGCAACAAAACAGAAAACACTTAATGTAAGCCAAGAATAGTGAAGATGGCTGCTTCCAGCAATCTTTAAAGTACTACTGTAGAAAAAAAACCCTTTCCAATCCTCTATAGAAAGACAATATTTACAGACATATTATCTTAATATAAATTCAAAAAGCTGTTTTGAAGGAATAAAATTAAATACTTTGTCAATAATTATTCAGGACAATATATTATTCCAATAAATAATATTTCAAGGCAGAGAATGGCATTAGTAAATTAAATTAATGCATCTATCACTCAAAGGAAAACTTACAGTGAATTCTTAGAAATCCCAGCCCTGTTATACACTACCTACTTTAGGAGAGGACTGGGAGTACGAACAAGAAGATAACCTTCCAAATAGTGATTCTGCAGCCTTCAAAAGTTATTTCAACATAGTTAATAGAAATTACACAAGCCCTGTAACACCAGCCAAAAATACCAATGCTTGTGAAAACCAGCAGATGGGAAAAGAAAGAACTCCAAGTTCCAGAGTCAGAAATAATGCATTAGGATTTACTTCAGAGAAAACTTTCTGCCCCATTTTTATAACCCTACCTCCAAAAAATACCTTCAGAAAGATGGCAAAATAACACAGTTGGTAGTTTTCAGACGGGTTTGGTGCAAGAATGGAAAGTTCATTTAACTAGGACTCCGAAGAAACATCTAAACTCTGTTGCACTTATAAGGCAGCAATAAAGCGGTAAAAACTGTTGAGTTCGGTTTTCACAGTGCCAATTGCTTATCAGCAATATTAACTGGGGAATTAGATTGCACTGCAAATTATGATATTTCCTAAACTTTTAAATCAGTGACCATAACACATTCAATCGAATTCTTGTGAGTTATAGGGGACTGGGAAACTCATAGGAGTGACCACAGAGTTTCATCAGAGTTGGTCACACCAACACCAAACTAATACAAGGGAAAATTATTTCATGACTAGCCGCTTGTACCAGCACTAAGTATCAGAAGTAAAGCTGTGCTCAATATTACAAGGCTCCAGAACAGCCAACTTAGGCTGGTTTTTCTTTGAAAAATTACTCCATCTAGCATAACCCTTGTTTAAACAAAAAGCTGACATAAAGCAACAATCAAATATTTATGAAGAACAGATTCATTAGTGCCACCATTTAAAAACTTTGTATAAGCCAAGTTGTGAGCCTACATAATCAGCTTCTGAAGGTAGAGAGGGGAAGAGGCAGTATTTGGGGGTGAGGGGCAGCCTTGAGCCCTGGATTCCTGAAGAGGTGTATTATGTTTATCTGACAGAAGTATTTGGCTACCATGCTCTAGACACCACCTCCTGTGTCTCTCAACTTCCACAAAACCTCAGCTGTATGATTTCTACATGCAAGACGAAACTCTGCTCTCTAAGCCTTCCCCCAGCCTTCCGCCTGCACACAGCAAGCCAAAGGAAAACTTCACCAATTACCCAGTATGGCCCTGATTCTACAGAGGTGCACAAAACCCGTCAGGCACATAAGCGAACAGACCGCAAAACAGGATTAGGCAAGCGCACAGCTTGTGCTGACATTTGTTGATTCAATATTTTATTTTTGTAAAACATTATTTGAGATGGAAGAAATGACTGTACAGGACCCCGACTGAGAACTTGCCATCCAAGCTAGAACCATGTGCTATCCATTTAGTTTCTCCAGGTTTCACTCTCCTGCCAAATTCCCTCAGCAAGGGAGCTAGAGAAACACATTCTCCATGAAAGTAACCGTTTCGATCTTTGTGTAGCTGAAGTGTATTTTAAGTGTTAACCATACTGGAAGTTGGGGACACAATTACTTAAAGCAGTAAATAGATCTGTAACCATAACAGAAATAAATGTGATTAAGCTAAAGATCTAGGCAAGCTCAGATAGTCAAGCCCAAGGCTTGATGCTACAGACAGAGGTTCTACCTGTCAACGCGGTTCTTGTGCACCATCAAGCCACCGACTTCGTCTGCAACAGTTTTGATGTCATCATGTTTTAAGCAGTGTTTTCTCACTATGACTGTTGGAATTGGAGGACTTGGCCACCTGTACTGTGTAAGTGTATTTCTCAGGGGAAGCTTTGCCAGATGGGATTCTGTCACCAGGGGCAGAGCTTAATCTCGTTTTCATCACAGTTTTATTTGAAGCATAAAGAATGGAAAATCCCATTTGTGAATAAGGGTTGAAATAAATGGCACACTCTAAAGTTACGCAAATTATAAACATGAAGACATTGTTCTCTACAGTGACAGTAAAATGAAAGCAGCATTTAGTCCTTTGCACACACAGTCACAGGACTTTTCAGTCTGATCTTATCTGTTAATGCAGTACATAAATAACCAGCACAGATATTTAATTAAGTATTTAAATACTAGCTACTAAAAAAACCCTGTTCATGTTATCCATTAAGTACTGAAAGAAAAGTAGCTCTGCCAGAGTCTAAAATGTCAGTGTAACAAGTTTACATATAAATGAAAAACCTTACAGATCTTAGGCTGCAAACCAGGGTTGATGGGAATCTCTTCAAACCAAGAGCCTGCAGCTAAGCACCTAATTAAAAATGTAATCATATTTGAAGAGTCACCACAGCTGAATACTCACTTCTATGTCTGAATACTCCTGCTATTTAGGTAGCAAACTTTAGATTCTCTACCTAGTGGGATTTTTTTTTCTGTCCAAACTCTCCTCTTTTGAATACACTGAGCATTAAATTCCCGGCTGCGCAGCAACCACTTCTTGAGGAATATCACAGCTACTCTTCAAGATACATTTTTAGTTGCCTGAATGGCTGGAACAAGATAGTATCACCTGAAAGCAAATCACCTCCTTCCTTATACACAAAGGACAGTTTTGCCATGCTCTCCAGTGGAACAGTGCCACGAATAATAGCAACTGAAGGAGCTAAGAATACCCCATCTATTCTGTAATTCAGAGTACTGCAAGTATAGTATCTTTGCCATAGTTCTACCCAAGAAATTATAAGCATATGTTTTAGGAGTGCCCTGTTAGTTCAAGTATTTTAATACAAAATTACTATTCTCCAGTCCCAATGTATATAACTGGGAGGAAGCCAGAAGAGCTTAGGAGATACTTTCAACTGCATCAGCTTTAATTTAATATCTCTAGGGACCAAGAACCTTCTAGCCCAGTGTCTAATTCAGACGCTGCTGAACAATCAAACCCTAGGATCGCTTCCCACAGTTTCAATTATAACAGACATACTTAAAAACAATATGGTTTCCTTTCAGAATCTTAATGTCTGGAATTGTGCACTAAGAAAAGAACGGCCTTTGTACTTACGTAGTGTATTCATCATATGACCACCACTCTCTTGGGATCTGTTATGACTGGCATCTTTGTCAGGGACCGCCTGCTGTGGTATGGCAGACACAGTAGGCTGCGGCTGCAAATACGGCATTGACAAAGGAAGAGAGGGCTTCATTTCCTCGTCTTCAGAATCACTAGAACTATTTTCACTACTTGATGAAGAGGACGAAGAACTTTTAGAGTCAGATGAACTGTCAGAGCTACTCAGCTGGTCCATGACACTGGCTTCTGCTTTTAGCTCTGCAAACAATACGATTTGTTTCTCAGTTAACATTCATCATAATTGAAATATAAGGAGGGAAAAAAATAATGAAAGAGAAAAATCAACAGCAGAAATGAGGTACATGCATTATAGCAACTAAAAAAACCCAACAAAACCAAACTAAAACCACCAAAAGCCTCCAGAAGAAAAGGGCACAAGCAAGCAGCCAGCCTGTCATGTGGTTTTCTTCTCTTGTAGCTTGTGCACTTTCTCCTTTTCAAGCCAAGCGTTAGAACAAGGGTGTCTGTGAACCCAAATGCTAACCCCACATTCCACAGGGTAGCGCATCCCACATAGCCTTTAATTTCTGCAACTAGCAAGTCTTCTGTATTTTCCTTAGCATCCCTAAAGATGCCTCTCACCAACTAAAAACTGCAGTTACAATCACACAGATAAATTAGCTGCAAGAGGTCTGCAGCTGCACCCAAAATGCCTCCAAGCAGTTTGGTATTACAATCAATACATTTGTTTAGACTATGTGACATTTTGCTCAAAACCAAGTTAAGCACAAAGAATATCCAAAGGAACCATCCACAGTTTACTGTTAGGAAGATTTCACCAAATCCTTGTTCTCTTTATAGATTGTGGGTGGGGAGAAGCTAGAACAACGCGAGGCAGACAAGAAATACTGGAAATTAACAGATCAAACTGACTCAGCCAACTTGCACTCTTGATGAAATAACTCACCTGACTACAATAATATTTAGGAGAGTATGACTGGATAGATCACGCTGCACAGTATGCATTTTTTATATCTACTAGCTCAACTCCAACATACAGAGGAACTTAAGCTTTGCAGAAAGGGTACACATAATAATTGTGCAAAGTAGGGATACTGCTGAAGGGAGAAGTCTGAAACAGACCACTGAGTTATAATAGTGGGTGGAGATTTTATACAGTGACTTCAGGAGTTACCCAGGGTGCAGAAGTTCATTGTTATAAAAGATTGTAACTACCCAGATATTTGTTAGGATGGTCTTAAAAGGACTTGGAATATTTCAGGAACAGCTTTGATATAGCAGACATAAAAAGCAAGTAGGAGAGTGGCTCATCTCACTTCAAATTTACCCAATACTGAAAAACAGGTTGAAGATGAAAGTCACCAAGATGCAAAATGACTCAAAGCTTAATCATGAGAAGAAGGGAGAACAAAAGAATAAGCATCAACACAAAACTTCCATGAAGCCTTCCAATTCCGAGTTATCAAAGGCCACTTCTAAAGGAAAGGTACTTAGGCCAGTCAGCCTTATCAAAGGCCAGTATAAAGAAAAATGGTGTTCAGGAAAAATGGCACCTGAAACAGCACAGCTGTGGCTATGAGGACAAACTAACCCAATGCCAAGGATGAACAGAAAGTACAATAAAAGACCATACTGGCTGACTCAAACATAAGAGAAGGAGAGGGGGAAAAAAGAAGAAAAAATAAAAATGGAAGCGTCCTCCTGTTACTAGGGACACACATAAGAACACCTTAAGGAAACAAAAGTAGGCAGAAAAGCTAAGGCAAAAATTAGGATGTGGCTAGCCAAACAATCAAGAAGTCATTTAAAAATAAATTCTAGAGAAGAAAGGCCAAAGAAACAACCGATCTACCACCCATCCAGAGCTGTAAGTTAACTGAAAGATACAACTCCAGTCCTATGCATTTAATTCCACTTCCTCCCTGCTCTCACCAGTGTCTAATAGAGAAAAATTTTAAGTGAAAGGCTAACAATACCAAAAACTGCCTTGAATTCTGATGTAATGTTATCTGACAGAATTTAAACTGAGACTTTTCAAACAGTGAAGGAAGGGCTGCATGTATACTAGACAACAAAGGTAGAGTGATTCCCGCCCAAGAAAACAAAGTTAGTAACAAGTTCAAGGTAGCGTACTTAAGCAGGAATAGTCAGTTACACAACCATGGGATGAAGAATGATTAAGTAGGCAACTCTTCTGAAGAGCCTGCGAGTTACACTGGATCACTACACACAGTTCTACCACATCGTGCTGTTGTGGAAATAACAAGCATTACACTGGGACATGATACTACTTGGTCTTTGTGTATAAAGATGAATAGTGCCTCTAAGACAGTCTTCTTGCCAGGCTCAGCACTGCTAAAACCATAGCTGAAACAGTAAATGTATTTAGGCACAATACTTCAGGAAGTTTTTGGACTCGATTTAAGATAGCTAAAGGAGTGTGACAATGCATCGGGGATCTAGAAAACTTCTAAGGAAAGACTGAACCTGCTGGCATCATTTTGCATAAAGAACGGGAAAGACATAGCAGCTTCTGAGTACAGGAAGGACTGCTCAAAAGCAGCAGAGTAATCTGATCTATACTTGCATGATAACTATGAAAGTAGCAACGGCTTTAGTGTCAGCTTATTTGTTAGAAGAACCTGAAGAGCGAGGAGAGCAAAGCCCTGGAATGGACTGCCAGAGAGCACACAGGATCTGTCACTGGAAGGCTTTAAGAACAGGTTAAAAAATTATGTCAGAAATCTGACTTTGGGACAGAAGGATGCACTATATGACATTAAAAGGTCCCTGCCATCCCTGTTTGTCAATTATTCCACATTCTTTAGTGGTACTCAAAATTGGACTGGCACTACACAAGAGTTTGACACATGCTGGCAGCCACTTTGGTGACCTGCAATATGTTTGACACCACCACTCTCCCCAAAACAGCAGACCACCAAGAAAAAACATTATTTTATTCCTTGCATTGAAGTACTCCCTCCTCTTTGCAACCTTGAATGTATTCTAGTACTGTTCTGTAGTGTAGATTTCTGGTCAGAGTTTAAAACCAAAATGGAAAAAAAGAAAACCCTTCATAATGATATATCTAAAAAAAAAAAATCTGTTCAAAGGAATTTAGAACATCTTGGGAGGCAGATGTCAATTCCAGTCCATGAAACTGCCACCTGTCAGCATTTCTGTAGCAAGTAACTACCACCTGCCATCTTCCTTGTCCTCCAAAAGGAAATAAGGCCTCCTAAGAAGTGAAATACGAGTGTTGCACCAAACCAGAGTCTCTCAGGAATACAGCCACACAGCACCGTTCAAGGGCTGATTTATATAGGGTTTTAGCTGTCTTTTTCATTGGAACCTCATCTTTCACAGGGTCTTATCCAGTAATTTAAAATGTATTTTATTACAATTACAATTGTACCAATTACAAACATTGATGGAAAAAAAAGAAAAAAAAGAAAACTTCATAATGATATATCTAAAAAAAAAAAAATCTGTTCAAAGGAATTTAGAACATCTTGGGAGGCAGATGTCAATTCCAGTCCATGAAACTGCCACCTGTCAGCATTTCTGTAGCAAGTAACTACCACCTGCCATCTTCCTTGTCCTCCAAAAGGAAATAAGGCCTCCTAAGAAGTGAAATACGAGTGTTGCACCAAACCAGAGTCTCTCAGGAATACAGCCACACAGCACCGTTCAAGGGCTGATTTATATAGGGTTTTAGCTGTCTTTTTCATTGGAACCTCATCTTTCACAGGGTCTTATCCAGTAATTTAAAATGTATTTTAAATTTTAATTTAAAATGTATTTTCAAGTTCCAAAGCACTGTAACCTGTACATTTGCTGACTGCAGAGAAAGAATGAGGAGCGATGTCAAAACGCAAGTGACGCGGTTGGTTCCAGTGCCACAGCACAACCAGCTATGTACTTGATTAAAGTAGCAGTGGAACACAGAATCAAGGAGAGAGTGGGACCTCTGGCATTATTAAGCCTAAAGGTTCATCTGATTTTTTTACCTTCGCGAGTTTCAAATACTGCTTTGCTACCACTTGAGCCAGAGGGGTCATCTCCATATCAGGGTACAGGCTTATAAAATCAGCTTCTAGGGTAAATCTCATCATTTTTTAATTAAAAAAAAACCCAAAACCAAACAAAAAACCTTGGCTCTTAAAAACTAATTGCTAGTTAAGAGCAAAGGTTTTAAAACTTACATGCCAGTGGAGCTTACCTCGTTCAATATCATCCATAGGAGAAGGAGGAAACATCTTTTCTTTTGGTGGGGAATTTTTAATGTTGTTTGGAACCTTAGTTGCATTTCGCATTTGCTGCTGTTGCTGCTCTATGCGAGACTGGACTTTACTGCTTCCTTCAGCTCTGTGTGTAAAAGCAAAAGATTACTAATAACTAGAAGTCAAGATGCAAGGAAAGAGGCAAGAATATAGGGGATTCTTAAGTTATGGAGTTATTCGTCATGCCTTTCTAAATAGCATCATTAGATTTCTAGGTGCATTATTCTACTGGCACCTAATTATATATAGATGTATTAAAAACAGTTTCTTTTAATACAGTGCTGATAACTTTTTAACTCTTTGACACTTGATTTGTTTTTATACCTGGCTACCCAGGATAATAATAATTCTGCTAGAAATTACTTACATGGACTCAGCAGCAGAAAAAAACAACATTAAAAAAAACTTACTATGAGAAAAGCAAGCCATTAATATTACTGAAACACATCACAGAATTTAGCTTTTTCGATTTCCTCACGTAGAAGTCAGAAGACAGTAGGCAAGCTGTTTTCCAAACTTTTTTTTTTTTTACCCCCTCTAAACTCATCAAAGTTACCATCTATTTCAACAATGTGACAGTTTTCAGTTAAAACAACCAACCAACCAACTATTCCCATTTCTTCTGCCAGTCAGACTCGAAAGCTGTGAAGTTGGTATGCTGAGAAAGCAGGCTTTTCACTCTGCTGAACAAGGCCAGGTACATCATTTCTAAAAATGATGGTTTGCTAAGAATAGTAATGGGTAGTTACGTTATCTGCATTTAGACTCATTAACAAATCGATTTTCACAATGAGTAAAGCACAGTTGTTTCTCCTGTAAATCACCCACCTGGTTTTTTTCACAGTGATGTTGCTACTAAGTTTCTCTAGGCGACATTCTCCAGTGTCATGGTTGATAATTAAGATACATTCTTTTAGGTAAGGCTTCTTTGAGCCCTTGAACACAGTCACTGGTGGAGTTGAGCCCTATTAAATCAGAAGTCCAGTAAGTGTTACTCCTGTAGTCTTTTTTTTTTTTTTTTTTGTTAGAAAGAGCAATCCATCACAGTGATGACAAGTTCACTACAAGTGATCATTTCTAGCCTTTAAAAAGGTTATCGGTTAATTTAAATTCGATTCACAGTAGCCATGACCAAAAGCAGCCAGTGTTTGACTGGAACGGGATTTCACCCAGCTTAGCTTAGTTTGAAACTGATTCAATGCCTATTTCCCACTGAGGGCATGCTCGCTGTAGGGCTCCTTTTACCAAAAGGGGTTTCAGTTACCATATCAGCACAGCAGTAAAGCATGGCAGGTAGTAAATTTTCCCCTTCCAGTCTTTCCTGCTTTAGAACTGCACTAGAGCAATAAATACCAAGGGGAAACTTGCATTGCCAACATCCACATGAAGCTTTTCTGTGTACGCAACACTTCTGGGTCATCCTACAGCATATTTCCAATGCGGTGGATACACTTAAAGTTACAGCGCAGCTGTTTAACCTTTAGGTCTTTCGTAATTTTACATTCTTAGAGCAATTGTTTTTCTACTCTAAAAGCCACACAAGCAGCTCCGAAACAGCACTGAAACTTCTCATCCTTCTATATTCAGTATATACTTATGACAACAAAACAAATCATTCCCTTCGGCCCACCACTCTTCAGCTCACCCCTCTCACCTCAATATTTGGCAGTGTTATTGTCACCTGTTCACCTTTGCCAACTTCAAGGTCTCCTTCACAGGACATATCAATAGATGCAGGCTTAAAGTCATCTAAATATAAAAACAAACTGGATTATTTACAGGCTCTTCAGGAATCCTACAAGTGTAGACACTTTTTAATTGCAGTTGGAGCCTGTTAAGTTAAAGCCTTTTTTGCTAGTGTACCATCTACCATTCCCCTGAGCAGATCATTCCATAAGTCAGCAGAATTCAAAATCGAGACTGTTTTCTCAAGATTCTGTACAAGCATTAAAAAACCTTTCGGTTAAAATTAGAAAAATGTTTCTAGGTTTTAATGGATAAAGGGCCTGAACAAGCTGTGTTACATTTCAAAAGATAAACCCTCACGTAATTACTTTCAGAAAAAGTAATAAATAGTTCTTGAAAATGTTGATCCCAAACATGGGAGATGTAGACAAGTGACTGGAAACGCAAAGGGCAACATCAATCCTCAGTATCTATTTCTGTATTCATTTCTGATTTTACCAAAACACACAGTCAGAAGCTGACCAGAACTTGTGTTTCAGTATATTTGTTTTTGTCAAAAGTGAAATTACTTCCCAATTAAATATTAATTTCCTTTTTGCCTTTTTCAACATCTAAAGTATTGATTAAAATAAGTTTTAAACAAAAGAAGATAGCAATTCCTGGTCCTTCTCAAAAACCTGAGACATTGAAAACCAGCACGCGTTCGGGCACCAGCGCTGCAGCTATGTAACCTACCGTTATCTGTAAAATCTCATTTCCACCACAAATGAATCGGGAAGGGCTGCAGCTGAAAGGCCTGCCTGCACAGATCTAGGGAGATAGGATGGCATCAAGAGGCTCTGCAAGGCACGTGGTAACATGTGGGTTCGAACCCGTGGTTCCAGCAAACGCAGGCGCAGGGCCAGCCTCGCACCCCGGGGATGCCCGGCGCCTTGCCTCGCACGCCGGGGACAGGCACGGAGGGACCAGGTGCATGCAGGGGACCCACCAGGCGGCACGCTCCCCAGCCACGCGCTCTCCTTGCCTCACAACCCGTCATGTCACCCGCTGCGGGTCACAGGTGGCAGCGCTCTGTGGCGGCTGGGGAGCTCCCAGGGCAACACCACTGCCTGCAACCCACTGGCCAGGCAGCACAGACCACGGCTCTGGCTCGCACACCAACCTGGCACGAAAACCAAGCTTCCAGAGCTGGCGGGCAGGACGATGCACGCAGCAGAAGGCTTTGAGCTCGGACACAGGTAACAGCCCCTGCTAACAGCCCCTGTTAACCTTCTTCACCCCAAAACCTCACACGTTGTCTCACAGGGACAAGCGCACCACAGTTCCAAGGTTTCTCATCAAATTAGAGAATGTTTGCCTTAATACACGGCCACTGGGTGGTTAATACTTTAGAAAATTAAGATACCGATGCCAGTGTCCATAAACAGACTTCCGATCTTAACTTTTAACCAGCAGATGTCTTCCCCTTCACTCACTTGTTAACAAAAGTTTCAGGTGTCAGAGAAGGATACTTTCGCATGTGCATTTGACAGACCCGATGAACATGCCAGTTTCTATGTCTCATTTGTTGGAAAGGAAGAGAGATTTCAAAATAGATTTCAGAATAAATCATCAAGTTACAGGAGTCAGCAAGAAATCATAAGGGTAGGAGGTACCAGACGTGGTTTTTAGTCCTCTTTAAAATTAGGGTAAATTTCAAGTTACAGCATTTGTTTAAATCCATTTATAGCTTTTCCCCGCTCCCTCCCCTCCCACAGTTGCAGACAATCCTACTAAGTGCCATTCCATTTGCTCACAGAAAGCACATTACCCATCTCGCTGCACTGCCTGAAAGCATACAGGACGTTCTACGTGAGACTGAATCTTGGGGATCAGTCTATAAATAATGAGACATCAAAACCAGACGCAGCAGTCCTAAATTACCAGAACTATAATCCTGAGAGCATTTGTTTCCTAGCTACCCTCAGAATCTTTGAGCACACACCTCTCTAGATAGTAATTATGTACTCAGGGAGGGTATACTGGCTTTGTGATTAATACTGCCTTTAACCTTTGATTACTGAATTGTACTTAACTTCTAAAATCTAAGCAGGAAAGAGGGCAAAGCCAGCGCTTCAGCCCAATTCGCTTTTCAGAGGAACTGCATTGAGCCACCGTTCTGGACGCCAAAGGTGTAAAAAGTGAAGTGAGTGCCCAGAGAGCAGCGAGGAGCAGTACTGGGGTACAACGGCCTCACAGCAACACGCTCTCCGGAGCAACTGAAACCTGACCTGCACCCCATTACTCCCGACATGCCCGACCAGCACCCCAGCCATAGGGACCCGGTTCCCAGGCGTACCTCCGAATCCCGGGTCAAAGACAACCGACTCATTTCAGCTTCTCGGTCCCTGATATTTCAACCCCCATCAGGCTACAACCTGCCTACGGAACAGATAAGCTCCTCCACAGCCCAAACGAGGGGGGTGGGGGTGTAGAGAACTAAGCCTGGCCACAGCGCAAACAAACCCCGCGGTAAAGTTTTCCCCACGTTACCCTTC